CCCAAATTTTTCACATCTTCTTCCATATCTTAAAAAGTATACAAATTGGCATTTCCAAAAAATTCGAACATTGGGCATCCGTGCAATCTCAAAACACAACAAAGATGGGCACATAGAAAATTAATACGAAACAAAAAAAAGAGAAAAAAAAAAAACACAGAGGTGCACAATGCCCAGTCTCTGCTCATATGAACGTGCTCCACACGGGTCGCTTTTTATATATACATATTTAGACAGATATATATCAAAAGGCAGAGAGAGAGACAGACAGAGAGGCAGAGACAGAGAGAGAGACAGAGCGACAGAGAGAGAGGGAGAGACAGAGACAGAGACAGAGAGAGAGAGAGTGAGAGAGAGAGAGAGAGAGAGAGAGAGAGAGAGAGAGAGAGAGAGAGAGAGAGAGAGAGAGAGAGAGAGAGAGAGAGAGAGAGAGAGAGAGAGAGAGAGAGAGAGAGAGAGAGAGAGAGAGAGAGAGAGAGAGAGAGAGAGGAGTTGAACAAACACGAACAACCGTTCAAGTTCTCGTTGACAAACACGCTTTATTTGATATGGCAGAAAATGCAGAAACGGCGATGTGAAAGAGATGCAGAGTGCAAATGGCACGACTATCCGTACATTCAAAGGAGTCGAAGATGACTGCGCCTTAAAACCGCGGAAGAGTTCAAAGGGCACCATAAAGCACAACTGAGGGCTAATGAGCAATGGCGTTACTCAATCGTTGCGCTTTGACAGGGTGGTCGTCATCTGGAAGAACGTCTTCGGTGAGACGCTGGCGTCGATGGCCGGATGGTTGCCAGAGGATGGCAGAAAGCAATAATCCTGGAGACTGAGATACACTCGCGCCAGGCTCGCGGAAGGAGGGCGAGCGGCGGGATGGTCAGAATGAACCCCTCAAAAAGTTCATGAGCTCGCCGCGTTCAGTGGCAAGCGCACGTTTGAGAACTTGACCTGCCACCCATCTCGATGCAAACGTTATCTTGGTGCGTTGGAAAGGGTTGCCGTCGGGTAGGACCTCGATGTGAAAGATTCCGTGCGATAGATCTGGCTCAACAGTAAACAGATCCAGGTCGCGAAAAGAGGCGATCGTGCGATTGCTAATCGCCGCGTTCAAACGTCTTTCGGACTCAGACAGAGACAGCTCATCATCGAACACATGACGCGCGATGCCGCCCCAACGATAATACCGCTCCTCGGCAGCTTGCAGTCTCTCTTCAGCTGCGTTCTGCTGGCGGAGGCATGCAACAAGCTCGTCCCACGACCACACTGGCATGAACATCATGGGGTTGGCGTTCTTTTCGAGCAGCTTGCCCAAGCCGCCGCGTGGCGACGTGACGAGTAGCGTGTTAACATTGGAGCTATGGCCAGAACTGCCATCGACGAGGTACCAAGTCTCGGGATTCGGAGCCCAAAGAAGACGGCTGGAAAAGCTGTCGAACGAAATTCTGTCTTGGGTCACAGACTGGTCAGGCTGCAGCACGTAGCGAACGGCGGGTATCGGTTGAGCAGGCTCGTAAACCACCGCCAGCTGAGGATGCTGCAGAAACAAGCGATACACAAAGTAGGCCAGAAAGAACGTCTTGCCGATGCCTGGATTCCCAGTGACAACCCAAGTTGGGCGGACCCGAGGATCCATCCAAAATGGATGTGGTTCAGGATTCGCCGGCGGGTTGATGATTGCATCGAAAAGTCCATCGTAGCAGCTGCGGACCATGAGCACTGATCCCAGTGTGGAGTTCCCAAGCCAGAACACGCCGTCAGGCAGAGTCAAGAACCTCGTTACTTGGGCTTGAGGCGGGTCGTCCACCTCGTTGGCATCAGGATCCCGTCGAAAGACCTGCTCGGTCACTTGGCCGGCGTGAAGAGCTTGCCAAAATCTGACAAGCTGGTCGTGGTTGGTCGCTGCCAAACAGTCGAAAAAGAGAGATGAAAGTGAGAATTTTCAACGTCGTGTCTGTATTTCTTCGGCACAAGCGATTGTTTTTTTCCAACACAATGGAAGACGCACAGGCTTGAAGGGCTGGGGCTTGGTGGCGAGTCGCTGCGAGATCAGCGCCTGTCGTAGCTTGCAAGCGTTGCTGCTCGTTAGAAGCCGCCTGATGACCCTCCAGGCGAGGTCGTTGAATGTCATCAGGTTGGCGGTCTTGAGTGGGCGAGGCAGGTCGGACGGCACCATGAAGCTGTTGCTGTTGGTCGCCTGTTGCGGCGTTGACTTGAGGGCGGGAAAGGTTGAGATCTGCCATTTTTGGAAAAAAAGCAGAGAAAGCAGACAAAGAGAAATGGCCCACCCCGGTCTCTAAAGCCGTTCGAGACTTGCTGAGCGAAAAAAAAAAACCAAGGCAGTGCACCAAGGCAAACAAGCAGAAAAAAATGTATCAAAAATACAAAGACGTGCAGAACTTGCATTCGGGTTGCCATCACTGCAAAGTCTCATCAAGCAGTTCATCTTTTACTTCCTGGGCGACAAATAGCAGCGGGAATGCTAAAGTTGTAGCAAACAGGAAGAAGAACGCGGCGAAATCACGCGTCGCGTTCTTGAGAATCGACAAGAGGGCCGAGCCAATTGGCAACAGTCGCATGATGGGAGATCCGCCGAATGGACTCGGGGTAAAGACCGACTATTAGAAAGCAAGTCAAGAGCAACAAACCACCAAGAATTTCAAGTGAGAAGGTTGAAATAAAGAAGCATCTTTTCGACCAAAAGCGTTGGATTGTTCTTCACGTTACCATAAGAAGCGGCAAAAGATTGCCTTCAAATACTGCAAAGGTCGCTTCCATGACAGCAAAAGCTACAATGATGGACTGCAATATAACAACCAGATGAGCTCCGGAGCAATACAGTGACAACAGCGACTCGGCTTGTTCCCCCATTCAATCGCGTACCATTCCGTGAAGCAACGGGTAATCGTAACCCTCACTTAAAACTCGGTGCAGAACAACAAACTCGGTACCCTTGATCTCAGGATCAGCCAACAGAGCTCGAAGCGCCTCACCAGCAAGAAGCAACCCCAGCAGCGCGGCGAGAAGCAACCGATAGGCGGGCCAACCCCAAGCTGCAGCTGATTTCGGCTGGAGTGGTGTTGGCTGTTTTGGCGTTGCCTGTTGGGCTGGTGCGACTTGTTGCTTGGGTGTGTGCGGACCAGCTGCTGGTCGTTCTTGCGCGGGTGGTGCGACTGGTGCTGCCGTTGCGGCAGTGGTTGTTGCTGGACTACGACGATGGACGAGCTTTGCGTCGGTCTCGTGGTGGCTGGCTTGCGACGCAGCGCGTTCCCTCTGCTCGGCCGGACTGTCTTGTTTCTCTTGCTTGCTCGTTTCAGTTGTACTACTTGTGGTTGGAGTGACCTCGTCTGCTTGGTTGGACTCGGGCTTGGTCGTTGCTGTCGCGGCGGTTGTCTCGCTCGCTGCCACGACGCTGCCTCCGTGGTGCGCGTGCGAGTGTGCCTGAGGCGTCTCCTTGATCAACCCAGCATCAGCAGTAGCATCAGCATTAGCATTCGCAGCACTGGGCTCAGCACTCGTCGCTGTCTCGGTCGCCACCACTTGTCCTCGAGGTCGCTCATACTCTTCTCCCTGCTGAGCAGTCGCCGTGGCCGTCGCCGTCGCCGTCGCAGTTGATGTCGTTGCACCATCGGCATGGCTGTGCTGCGCTTCCGTCGATGTGGCTCGCGATGTCTCTGCCAGTGCTTGGAGGCGGTTTCCAGCGTTCGCCATGATGCGTTGCCGCCGTCGTTCGCGCGCTGCTTCAGCTGCGTCCATTGCAATAGAAGGAGAAAGACTGAAATGAAATGAAACGACAAATCTGAGAAAGCAAACGAAAAACAAAACAAAGCAAAGCAACAAAAAAAAACTCGCATTCCCAAAAAATCGCGTCAAAACTTACAACAATCTTGGAAAAACAAAAACAAACAAAAAACAAACAGCAAAAAGTTCTCAGAATTGCACTCAAAAAGGACAAAAAAAGTAAATCTGTTTTTTTTTTTCCCACTCTTTCTTCTTCTTCTTGTTCTTTCTCTCTTCTCTCTTTGTATTGATTTCTATTGATTTCTATTGATTCTTTGTCATGAAGCAGCCAAACAAGCATCGCCGTGACTGGCTGGCTGTCATTGCCGTGGTCACGATGGCGATGTTGATGATCACCACTGCTGCTGCTGCTGCTGCTGCTGCTGCTGCTGAATCGCCCGCCTCGCTGCTGCTGCTGCTGGACGATCCGCCGCGCGTTGCTGCAGTGATGAAGCGGCTGTACGACGTTGACTACGAGACGCGGTTTGTGGACAACAGGGCGACGAGCACGGAGGACGACGAGTGGCCGACGCTGGCGTACGGCGGAGTCCTGCGACCGCTCTTTGGATTCTCATACACGTACCACGCATCACCCTCATCCGATGCATCCAACGGCGATGGCGATCGCGATGGCAAGAAGAAGCCGGGGTACATGGGCCAGCCAATCCCGCCAAAGATCCAGGGCGACATCCGCAGGGCGCGCAGGAGGGCCTCCAACCACCCAGCCGCAGTCCTCCCGCTGCGCCAGGTCGCCAACGCTGCGATTCCAGTCAATCTCCACGGCGCGCGCGTCAGTGCAAGCGATCCAAGCATCATCCACATTGTCAAGGTAAAGAAAGCCATTTCGAAGCCAATCTGGACGAGCCACGTCAAGGTTTGGTGGGGAACAAGACGCGTGACTCCTGACCTGGATGCTCATCTGCATCCTTGAGCATCGGGCATGAAGCCGATGAGTAGTCTCGCAGAGAACGAGAGAACGAGAGAACGAGAGAGAGACAGGAAACAAACCACAAAAAGTTCAATGTCTGGCTCTGACTCACGGAGAATTCTTGTGCGGTGACGCAGAATGCAGCGCTGCCTGTGATCGAATCACACGCCAACGAGTGCTTCAATCCGCAAAACACAGTCCTGCCAACAATCGCCGAAGTTCGCATTCTCGTGAGTTTTTCGCAAATGTACTTGTTGTCGAGCCGATTCTGCCATTTCAACCACCCCCCCCGCCTCGCACACTCACACTCTCTCTCACACACACACGCTCTGTCTCTTACACACATGCTACAGGAACTGCTGCACACCAAGAATGGACACAGTCCGATCGACTCGCTGAGCGAGGATGACATCCGCCAATCACTCTCGTTTGGTCGCACCGTTTCCCTCGCGCTCGAGTGGGAGTACAGCTGCGCGTGGTGTTGCATTGCCCTGGGATGTGGTGCTGGTGAGACCTGGATCCGACACACACACCGCATGGCTTTTACGCAAAACTTTGCAGACAACACGGTGCATCTCTTCGCTCACACCTGGTTTGACACGCCGCTGAGCCTGGCGCGTGAAGCGGATGCTCGAACGTACGATGCCATGTCGGAAAAGGAGGCGCGTGCTGTGGAAGCAAACGGTCTGCTCTTGCGCTACGACATGAATGCGGCTAAAGTCACCGAGTCGGATGCCGTCTCAGCATCCTCCCAGGCTGCCGAGAAGAATCACTATACCGCCTCCTCTTCTCTCTCCACGCCCTTCCCGATCTCGTCCGTCTACTCCATCCACCAATCCGAGGCCGTGCGCTCGACCCGCTACTTCCGGCGAACCGATTCCCGCTTGACAGCTGCCGCGCCAACCCGCTCCTCGGCTGCGCCCCTCAAAGTGGTTTCGTTTAACATTTGGAATGCCAACGGTCGCGGCGAAGCCAAGTATAACTCCCGCATGGACCACATCGGCAGTATCCTGCATGAGGCCCAGGCCGACATTGTCGCACTGCAAGAAGTTCGATTTGACGATTCCTTGGTTCATTCGCTGCCCCCAGCCAACCAAGCCAGCGATCTTCTTCGCTATCTTCCAGGGTATCAGGTGAGCCGGGGGTGGGGCTTGAGGGCGGCGGGGCGGCGGGGGAGTGGCGGCGAAAATGATACCGACAGTTCAAACTTCAATGGTTGCTCATGGGCTTTTTTTTTTTTTGGTTCCTGCTGCACTTTTGTTTGCCTTTTTTTTTGTTGTTTTTGGCCAAACCCGTCTAGTTTGCCTTCCAACCTGCCATGTCCTACCCTCTTGATCTCACGGGACGCGTGGAGGAAGGCCTCGCCATTTACTCGCGATACCCCATTTTGAATACGGGCTACCTGCTCCTGCCGCGCATCCCGGAGGATCCCCACCAGCGCATTCTCTTCCATGCTGAAATTGATGTCCCGAGCGTGGGCGTTGTCGATGTTGTGGTCTCCCATTTCTCGCTCGTGGACTCGGCGCGGTCGGTAGCGGCCTTGCGTGTCTACGACTTTTTGCGCAAGCTCGCGCGGGACAGTCCGCGCCCGCAGCTCTTCATGGGCGATCTGAACGCCACGCCACTGTCCACCGCCATGCAATTCCTGAATGGAAATGTCACTCTTCGGAACATTCGCGTCGGCGACATGCGCGATGTTTGGCTGGCGTTGCGACCCGAGCCGTCGTACGACCCGCGAACGGACGACAAGCTCCCACACGCGCCACCATCGGATCATCCGCTTTATGGCATGACGTTCAATACCCACGCCAACTTTTTGAGCAAGCGCATCGACTACATGTACCTCCGCCAACCTGCTGGCTCGCCCTCCGTTCTCCGACCACGGTCGATTGATGTGATTGGGCAGCATCCTCGTGATGGTCAAATGCCTTCTGACCATGTTGGTCTTGTTGCAGAGTTTGATCCCGTGGTTGCCTAAGAGGCACAGCAACAAGAGAGATGCGCGATGTTTTATGTTTTTGATGTTGTTTGTATTTCTACCCTTCCCCGTGCTGTCTGAGCAAAGTACAGTACAATTTACTGCTTGTTTTTTTCATTTGGGCCATATCGTGCATTTCGTTGGACATCAACACCAACCTAAATCCCGCGAGTTTGCCATCTCAGTCTTTTATTTCTTGTTGTTTTTCCACTCATTTCCCCCCCCCCCAACCCAACCATGGCGTTCGCAGTCCACCCAAAGCACGACTGTCCTCATGTTGAAACAGACGCACTGAGCCCATTCAACGCATCGCAGCATCCACAGACAGAAGAGAACAATCCGCACTCCAAGCCATGCCGCACGTGCGGCGATCCGACCGAGAACTGGGTGTGCCTGCAGGTAATATCGAAGTGGCTCAGATTGACAAGAATCGCTGGTGGGCGGCGATTGCGCTCAAACTGCGTTTCCACCTTCAATGTCTCGATCGTGCTCAACCTGAACTGAAATCAACTTGTCAGTGCCTTGCTGTGCATTGTGGACGCGAGATCAACGGGTGTGCTGCAGTGCACGGCGGCGAAGCGAGCCATCCGATTGTCCTCAGCCTCGCAGACCACAGCATCTGGTGCTATGCGTGCGACAGCTACATTACGCACCCGTTGCTGACGCCGTGGTACGAGCACATCTACCGGTTCAAGTTTGGCACGACGCCCGCGCCAATTCACGGCGTTCCCGCTGATCTCTTTGCCGCTGAGAGCACGCCCGCTGCTGCTACTGCTGCTGCTACTGTTGCTGCCAGTACTGGTGCTGCTAGTACGAGTCGAGACACTGCCGCCACTACACCCACTGACTCGGGAAAGGCGACGCCGAGTGGTGCTATTTCAAGCGACTGCGCTGCGTCAGCGTCCAAGACTGATGACGAGACTCAGCCGCGGCAGAGATCGTACACGCTCGCTCAGGGATCCAAGCTGCCCAAGCATGTTGTGATTGACCGGATTAAGGGCGTCGTGTTTGGCCAGGCCATTGGCGACGCTTTTGGCCTCGCCACCGAATTCATGTCCGTCGCTCAGGCCCTGGAAGCGTACGGCCCAGACGGACCGGCGGATTACTCCAAGATTGTGCGGGATCGTCACCGCTCGCGTTGGGTGCAGGGCGATTGGACCGACGACACCGACCAGATGATTGTCATCATGCGAAGCCTGATCAAGAACAATGGCAAAGTCGTTGTGCAAGATATTGCCGAAGGCTTGCTGCACTGGGTGGAGCACGGGTTTCCCGAGGTTGGGGACGTTCGAGGTCTTGGTTTGGGTAATACTGTTGGTACGTTCGTTTTCTTTGATTGAGTGTCTGACAGGTGAGTGCAAACAAAGTGTCCGTGTCGTTGTCTCACTCGCCTTTCCTTCATGTGACGTTTGATTTGATGCATTCTCACCAGGGGAGGTTGTCGAGCACCCAGATTTCACCAAGGATCCACACGGCGTGGCTCAGATGGTGTGGGAGAAAGGCGGGTAAGTCCAAGGATTAACGATTTGGTTTGGTGATTTCGACGCAGACATTCTTGCCTCCTCACTCATCATCATCATTGTAACACCCCCCCCCCCTTCATCTGACTGGAAAAAAAACAGCAAACGAGCTGCTGCGAACGGCGGTGTGATGAGAACTGCAATCTTGGGCGTGCTGGATTACAATGGTTTGTCGGCGCATCTTCCAACCCCGTTTATTTGTTTTGTGTGTGGACATGCAAAAAAAGAGTACAGCATTAACTTTGGGGCATGTTGGCTAAACAGACATCGCCAAAGTCATCGAGAACACCCGCAACGTTTGCAAAATTACTCACGCAGATCCTCGATGCATTGCGTCGTGTGTCTCTGTCACCACTGCCATTGCGCTGATTCTTCAAGGAGCATTCGATTGCTCTGACAGTGAGCAGCAGAAAGCATTGGTGCAACGCGCGTATGAGGTACAGTTGCTACAGTTTGGACTGTATGCAGTTCGTAGTTGTCGTGCATTCATCTCGCATTGCTGTTCACGTTCTTCCAGTACGGCGAGCGCGAGATGACCGAGCCCGAGCACATCGAGGACTACCGCAAGCACGTGTTTGCAGAGAGCCTACAGGCTCTGGATCTGTGTTCTCAAGGAATGGGGTATGCGAGTCTGTGCAAAAAACATCTCAACTTGTTCGTTTTGGCGTGTGTGCTCACCTTCTCCAATCGCTCAGATACACACTCAAGACCTTGGGATGCGGATTCTACGCCCTCCGCGGATCCCCATCCTTTGAAGGTGGCCTGCGTCAAGTCACCATGTGTGCCGGAGATGCTGACACGTAAGTTTTGTGATTATTGGGAATTCCAAGGGGCCCTATCCTGCCCCTCTCTCATCGTCTCGTGGTGGATTGTTCATGGGTGATAGAAATGCCGCGGTATTTGGCGCTTTGGCGGGGGCGAAGGTCGGATTCAACAAGCTGCCAACACACCTACGGGATACGCTGCCATACATTGAGTGGATTATGACGTTTATCAACCAGCTGCTTGATATCATGCACTTGACAACCAATTCGTCCGATCCGCTCTACTTGAACCGCAAAGGGGTGACTCGTTAAATGAGTATCCATTTTGTTGTTATTGTTGTCTTGTTGTGCAAAAAGATACCAAAAAAAGTTTGCAAAAAAAACTATGCAAACATCCGTTCATCAAACATCACGCAGTCACTGCATGGACGAGCCCAGCCACTCACGAACGAGAGAGTTCGGAATCGAGTCGATTTTCGCATCTCCGGCGAGTTTGCGCAGGATGGCAAGACGAGAAGCGTCAGGTTTGGCGGCAAAGCGGAGCAGCGGTTGATAGGTGAGCAGGTCACGAACGGGCTCGTGGAGCTGGCATGCGAGGATGGCCGTTAGAATGGATTGCCGGGACGCAGCCAATTTGGCAACGAGTACATCCCCGCTTTCTGCCGGGTTTTCTGCGGGTTGCAACAATCCCACATCAGCGCTGTCCGTATTCGCATCCGCACTGACGTTGCTGGACAGGGGGAGCGCCCAGACGCCGTGCTCAAACGCGAACGCAACGACGTGGTGCAGCGCCACGCCATAGAGCACAGAAGACCAGGCACGCTGCGCCTGGCCAGCGAGTAGAGCGCGCGCCATGGCCTCCAAGAGCGGCACGTCCAGTTCCAGCGGGTCGAGCAGGTGCGCGGGATGGAAGGGCAGATCGCGCACAGGATCAACCAAGAGCATGCGCAAAGCATCCGAATGCTCCGTCCACAGCATGCGCCGAGCAGCTGCAGTCCCTGGGGACACGCTTGGAATCTGACACAAAAGAACAAACGACCCAAAAACGGGGTCGCTGAAGGACACGCCGAGGAAGCGCTGGACAAACTCACGATACATGGCATCGAAGCGAGGCACAGTCATATCCGTCAAGTGAAGGGGGCGTCGGCGTTGCAGAGTCGCGGGCTTTGTTGCGGGAGGCGGCGGCGGCGGAAGCAGCGTTGCAAAGAGAGCGCTGCTGCTCGGCAAAGCGTCCCCGGAAGGCGCAGTCCACGCTGGTGCACGCTCCGTGATGAGGCTCGTCGGAGCGCCCGCCAACTGACTGTGAGACACGACATTGGCGAGCAGGGTGCGCAGGCACGCTTGCACTTGGTCGTCGCGCCAGCCGTCGCCTTGCGTGAGAAAAACGAGCATCATTCGAGCAACCTTGACTCCAAGGGCAACGGCACAAGCCGTGGTGTGAGCACCGTGCAAAAGCTCAAAGTAGGCAACAAACTGCAGCGTCTCAGCCTGAATGGCAGTCACATGGTCAACATTCTGGTCGCCAAAGAACGCCCTGTTGTCCTTCTTGCGCAGCTCAAACAATGGTCCCACGCTCGCAAGCAGCTTTGTTGCGTCGCTCTGGAATTTGGCGATCGGGCCATACATCCAGTCCGCGGGCGGTGGAAACTGCTTGCCAGAAGGGAGAACGAACGAGCCGAGCCGCAAGGGCAGGTGCGAATGACGCGCTTCAGCGTGAGAAATGGTCGCGGTCGGAGCCAGCAAGTGTAGATAGGCGCCTCGCAACACTTCAGCACCGCGAGGTTGCCGCAGCAGATTCTCAGCCTTCCACCCCAGTGCGACGAGGTCGGTGGGTGCAGTTGCGACTTTCTCGAAAAACACGGCATGCGCATCCTCGGTGGATGCAAAGTCGCGTGTGACCGGTCGCGTTAATACATGCACAAGCAGGTGCTTGGCGAGATACTCGTCGCCCGAATGCAAGCGCTCGAAAATGCACAGTCCAAGTCGCTGTTGCTTGACTCGAGCAGAAAGGGCCTCCGTCGCCTGCTGCGAGTCCTCCTCGAGTCCAGAGGCGAGCACGCCGTCCCACGCAAGACGAAGAGCCTCGAGGAGCTCAAACGCCACATAGCCTTGCCGCCGACCCACATACCCTGCAAAGCTGGCGGTGCCGGTCGAGGTGGCTGGCTGGCCCGAGACGATCGCTGCCTCCGCCTCCTGCTGCTGCTTGACGGAGCTGACTGGATTTTGTTGAGTGTACGCCGCAATGTAGGCGTCCGCGAAAGGCGAGACGACTGCCGGCAATACAGCAGCAGCGAAGGCGGGATCGCTGACCAGCAACGCATTCACAAACCGCAGCAACGAGAGCGCGAGCTCAAGCGCGTCGTCAAAGTGTGAAAAGCGCTGCCGAATGGGCAGCGACGGCAACGCGGCAAGAGATGAAGATGCCTCGAAGATGGCCGAAAGCGCGGCTGTCAAGTTTGCATCTTCCGAACCCAGACGCTCTGCTGCCGCGATGGGCAGCCGACTCAACGTTTGGGGCAACAAGCTCAGCACACGGGGAAGCAGCACCGTCCGAACACACGCTCCAACGCGAACTTGCACCGCATCTTGAGCTGGCACTTGCTGACGAGCGCCGCTCGTGTAGACGCTGAAAAACCGAAAGCACGCAGATGTGATGCGAGACTGCACCGACAGCACAAACATCGCACGGTCTTGCAATTGCTGATCGCGGGCGTGAGACACGACAAGAGAGCAGTTTGCGAGCAACAGCGCAATCGGCTCGTGCAGATCTGCCGCGTGCGACCAGTGCACCGCGTGCGTGGGCACGGCCTGCTGGGGATCGGCGGCCACGATGGTCAGCGCAGCCGCAAGGTTGACAAAGGCAACCGTCCAGTCCAACAAGTTGGCAGCAATAGCTTGCCCGCGTGGAAGGTCCAGCAGCGTCGCCGACAAGAGTGTGCTCCAATCCAGTCGCGCAACAGCCAAGAACTGCTCCATCATGGATCCAAACAAGGTCTTCCAAGGATCACAGTACAGGCCATACAGCGCCAATGCGCGCCAAAGGTTGAGCGTTTCGATGGCCAAGGCAAACCGAGCATCCACATCCTCGGCAGACATCGAATCGGCACGAGCGAGCTCGACGAGATGGTCCAGGCCGGCGGCAGGTTCCAGCTCGCCCAGGGCATCCACTGGGCCTTGAAGGAGGAAAGGCATGACGGCTTGGGGTACGCTGTTGGAAATCAACGTGGTGGCAAGCGAGCGGTCGACTTGGGTGATGACACGCATCAATTTGATGGCAAGAGCACGCGGCTTGGCGTACACGTCGGCAGCGCTTTGAGGCGATGCGCCAGCAACCGCCGGCAGTTGAGTGGCAAGGAAGGCGTCGCGAATATACGTGATCAAGCGAGGTGTGTTTACAATGTGGGAGGCACCTTGGAACGAATGACGGGCAATGCGAATGAGAATGCGCAAAACGTCGTCCGCCACACCGGGAAGTTGGCACACTTCGAGAATGTAACGCAGGCGATCAAGGAGCTGCATATCAAGAAAGCCAATGACAATATCGTGCTTGGCCTTTTGCTCGTCTGTTAGTTGCGGCGCATCATTGTCGTCATTCATGTCGAAGGACTGCTGCTTGCGTTCCTGCTGCTGCTGTTCCTGCGCAGCCGTGGCGAGCTGCACGGTCGGCCGGAACGAGGGCAGCTCGTAGCCTCGGTACGCAAACAAAAAGTTGTCGTCCAAATATCGCTCTTCCGGCGCGCTGACGCTTCGCGAAGCGACAAATTCAGTATCGAGCTGCTGCTGGCGACGAGACGGCTGGAGAGGCTGCGAGCTTGCTGAACGCGAGGAGGCAGCAGCATCGGCCGCCGCCAGGGTCCGGCGCCTCGTGTCGGACGCATGTAGACCCGGGCATGAAAGGCTGGCGAGACAGCGAATGGCCGCCGCCATCACGCTCGAGTGGGTGCTGTCAAGCGCATGCCGAAGCACAAGCGGCAGGGAAATGCCATCAACGAGCGTCTCCAATACGGACGCGTGGATTGAATTGGCGAATTGGCCGAGCCAAGCGTTGCCGGCAATGTTGGCGAGCAGGTTGAGCGCCAGCACGTTTTGTGCCGGCAAAGCCGACCGAGCGAGAATCAGCAGCTCGCCAATGGTGTATCCTGCAGCGTCCGGCTCGTCTCCGTGATGGTGCAGCGCGCGGTCGGCCGGGATGTCTGCGCCAAGCGGCACAACCGCGCCTTGAAAGTCAAAGCGAACTTTGGTCCCGGGAGCATTTGCACCGGCTGCCTCTTGCTGTGCTTGATCGCGAGGGGTCTGGACATCCAGTGTCCCGTCCGCGCGCTGAGTAATGTTGAGCATGCCAGTGGTGTTGGAAGACGAGGAGGTTGCTGCATCAGGGCTGGTCTCGGCGGATTGGCTGGGAGCGTGCTGCTGCGGAAAAGCCGCCATTGGCTTGTCGGCAGGCGTGACAATCCAGGCCAATTTGTCCTGTTCAACCACATCCATGTTCACCCACTCCTTGTTGCTGCGATGGTTGGCATCAAGCAGGGTGTCGAGGGCACGCTTGGCTTCGGCTGCGTCCGGATCGCTCGGCAGCAGAGTGTCGTTGGCTGGCGCGGCAGCCTCTACTTGAGCGGGGAGCGATGCAACCGACGCAGCACCCACAGAAGACGAGGATGCTGAGTTGGAGGGATCACTGGCAGCATTCGGAATCGGCACACTGCCCGACGAGTTGGGCTGTTGTTGGCGCTTGCCCGTGGTGAGCAACCGAATCGCGTCTGGACCAAGCAGGCGGCGAATCTCTTCTTGGGCTTCAAGAATTTCAGCTTTGCTCATCGACGAAAGTCGGTTGTCGTTCTCAGTAGCAATCTGATCGCGCTCAGATGTTGGCAGAGGCGCAAGAAAGTCCACCTCAGAGTTCTTGGCGGGCCCTGCAGCCGTGTCTGGAACAACGAGCGGCTTGATGACGAGTTTGTCACTCAACTTGATAATGTCGCGCTCAACAATGAGAGGTTTACTGCTTGCAGCCTGCTCGACTTGCGGCAATGTCGCTGCTGGAATCTTGGACGCCGGCGGACGATCGGCGCTACCCAATTGGGCTTGCGCGGCGTCGATGGCTCGCTGCTTGTCCACCTCGCGCTGCGCATCAAACATCTGGCTAAAGATGCTGCGCTTTGACTTTGGGCCTTCTGGCTGCTTGAGCTGCGTGAAGTTGAGACCTGACGTCGAGTCTGGCTGTTCCGACGCTTGCAAGGCTCGCCAGTCCACTGACTGAGCAGCTGGGAAGCCACGCTCCAATGGCACGCTGGCCACACGAGGTGTAAACACGACGCGCTCCTTTTCCACAACGCGGCTCAGCAAAGCAGACATGCTGGTGTCTTGGCCTGTGTACACAAATTGTTGAATGACTTGTTTTCACCAGCGACCAATCCATGAAAAAAAAAAAAAAATAGAAAAGCAGAGCATCCTTACGATCCATTTCTTCAAACATGTCTAGAGCGATTCTGCCAGTCGGAACGCTTTCTTCCATGCCATCCATCATGACATCCGACGACCGAACGGCGGGTGCGGCTCTGCTCAGCTGAGCTTGTGCTGCGCGTTGTTGTTCCTGCAACAAACCATTGAAAGCCCAATCCCAAGCAAAAGTGAGCAAAAAAACTCGAGCAATCTTTTTGGTGTAATATCCAACTATGCATGAACACAAACCTCGATGCGTTGGAGTGCAAACTTGGAGGGCTTCTTGGTCGTGCCAGCGGTGGAAGCAGATGAGGAGGAAGCGACTACGTTCGCACCGCTCGAGTGGGCCACGCTTGCGTCTCCAGCAGCAGCCAGCGCCGCGCCAGTGAGTTGGATGACATCGCGCGCAGGAGCTGGTGCGCTCGGTCGTGCAGCAGCAGCAGCAGCAGTCGAAGGAGTAGAAGGAGTAGAAGTCGTCGAAGTAGAGACCAACGACGACGACGACGCAGCAACAGCGACAGGTGGCGCCGCTCGCCTCAAGCTGGCTGCAGCTGGGCGCGCACCGCTGGATTCAAACTCGTGCTGTAGACGCATCAGTTCGGCTTGATCTGCATCGGCGCCGTCTGAGGCTGCAGGTTGCCGTCTCGATCGCGCGCTCGGGTGCGTCGACATGTGGACGATCGAACACAAAAGTAAGGAGTGCGCAATGCATGCATGCAGAATTGGGGGATGTGCATGTCGCTGTGGAAATAATGCTGGAGTACATGCGATTGCACTGGCTGGCGACGCAACAGGCGAACGCTTCAAGTTGGAAAACATACAATTTCGTATCATCAAAAACGCACACACACGCCAAGTCTCAAAGCACACATTCAATATCAACGGATTGTTTTCAAAAGAACACCAGAAAGAGAGTAGAACCGATCAAGTACGCATTCACAGATTTATGGCTGTTGCTGCAGTTGCTGCTGCTGCTGCTGCTGCTGCTGCTCATTCTTGGCAATGTCCACGATCGTCTTGGTGGCGCTGTTCAACGCTCGACTAAAGCGCGAAAACAAGTCGCCGGTTGGTGCTTCTGGGGCGGAGGTGGATGGTGTCGCACCCGTGCCAGCGCTGGAGCTTGAGGAGGAATTGGTGGAGGACGATTTGGCAAACGACGCGGATGACATGGACATGTACGGGCGGCTCGCAGGCACCGATGAAGACGTAGAGATGGGGGCAGGGGCATGAGGGGCGGGAGTGGGAGCTGGTGCTGGCGCTGCGACAGTTGTAGGAGGAGCCATCACAGCGGCAGTGGAGGACACGTTGGCGGAAGGACGCTGATAACTGCTCGGATTCATGCTAAAGCTTCGTGTCCGAGGCGCTTCGCTCGGCTGAGAAAGCGCTGTCTGAGACAGCGACGACGCCTGACTGTCCATCATGCTGGCGGCATGGAGATTGCTCTCAGATGTGGCAGCACGCATGCGAAACTGGGACGAGGAGCTGCCGCTGCTGCTGCCGCTGTTGCTCGTATCGCTGGACAGCAAAACACCTCCACTGGTGCTGGTAGACACCATCTTTGGAGAGCCTCCCAGGTCAATCTCATCCAAGGGCGAGCTGGGCGTGACGTCCAAAGTGGCAACAAGGTTTGCAACCTGCGGGAGTGGGGCTGGACGGTTGATGACGAGTGGTGGGAGCGGTGCCTGGCGCTGCGCTTCCGACTTGGCCAGTCGTCCAGCTAGAACGTCTTGACGCTTCAATGGCTCCATGAAGGCCAAGTCGACATACTTCATGGTGATGTAATCCTCGCGGTACTTGCGCGACGAGCCGCTGCGTGGTTTGGACATGCCCGCAGGAACGCGCGCCTCAAAGATGCTGTTGGAACGAGCGTTGGTGATGGACAGCATGGGCTCTGCCCATTCCGGCCGCCAGGTGTCCAGCAGCAGAGAGCGCACTTGGGAAATGTGCACGCCAAAGCTGCGGTGGATGCCCGAGCACTCGATGCAAAGCACAATGCCCAGGTTGATGCTGGCCCACTCGGGACGCGGTGCGCCGCAGTCCGCGCAAACGTCATTCGAGGGCAGAGCCGTGAGATAGCCCATGGGGTTGGCCATGAGTTCAGCCGTGATGGCGGCGGACGGCACCGAGTTGGAGGCCGTCGAGCCACTTGTGTTGAGCAGACCGTCTGATGCGTCTCCGTCGACTGGCGGGAGCTGTTCAAACGATTGGAAGGACGAAGAATGCGGAATCAGGTCATCGCCTTCCGCGACTTCGTTGAGGGCGTTGTACGAGCCTGCCCGTCGCACGCGGCTGCCACTCATCGCTCCTTCCACAGACAGGGATTGGCCAAGGCCACCGCCATTGCTGCCTGTGCGACTGGCCGAGTCCGAAGCAGAACTCGTGGTCAATGCGCTGGCAATGGCGTTTTGAATGGCCATCAGCCAGGCTTGCATCTCGTCTGACGACTCTGCTTGGAGAAGCAGCGTTGTGCGCGGAGAAATGACTGAAAAGCAAAAGTTGCGGTCCACGTCGTGCGTGGGCTTGACGGTGCAGATGCGCAGATTTTCAGAGACGGACGACGTGGTGAGTTTGGAGCGCCGCTGCTGCTGAACGAGCAGGCCATCCTGAATGGTAAAGTAGCATCGCGACCAAGAGAGGCCATAAGGCTTCTTTTCGCCGAGGTTGAGGTACCCAGCGCGGACTCCGTTTGCCAAGAAGGGGAAGGCCACGCTGGGGTCGGACACGTCCCATCCCGGAGTCGGCGTGCTTGCGAGTGGAGCTGCTGCTGCTGTTGCTGCTGCTGCTGGCAAAGAGGAGCTCAAACTCGATGCTGATGTCGCGGCCCCCAAAGGCCCGCTTGAGAGAGGGCTGGAAGAGGGAGGCGAGGACGAGGCGAGGAGGGCAGAGACGACGCTCGTGGGAATGGGCGACGGACTGCTGGCGCTGGACGCGGTTGCCGAAGCGGATGCCGCAGCGGCCGCTGCAGCAATAGCAGCCACCGCAGAGGTAGTAGTGGGAGCGCTGGCGGGCTCGGGCAGACGCAGGTCGCGCATTTGGAAGCGGACGAGGGCGCGGTTGCGCACAGCTTCCTCGGCTTCCACCACAGCCCGCATCTGGTCGGTATCACGCCGTTTCCGCTGGTCTAACATTTGCGAGCGCTCCTGCATTGTTTGGTAGAGGGTTGTCATGATGCTCTGTGAGTCGGTCTTGACGACACTGTAAGTTAGCTGAGCGAACGTGCTATGGCCGATCAGCGCCTCCAAGATGGCCGACGGTACGAGGGATTTGCTCCGCTCATGCAGCTGGTTGATCAGAATCACGGCACGGCAGCCAAGACGGTGCGCGTTGCGACGCGCCTCCCGCAGGGTTGTTGCCGCCTCGCTCAGCGCACGGTAGTCGCGAGGCTTGACCGCCGAGTAGCGATCAATGGCGGACTCTACCTCTGCCTGTGCACGATGGTACGTGCTGGACTGCTCCTTGACACGGCGAACGTCGTTCGACAAGAAGCTCTCGACGGGCTCGACCAGCATGCGCTGGAGCTGCTTGCACAGCATGTCGCGCTGGTCCTCCACTGCCAGGAACGAGCCCGTCAGTGTCATGAGCGATGCGTGAAAGTACGCCGTGGTGGTCTCGTCGTCCGACTCGTCCAGCGCGCTACTACTCTGCAATGTCGAGGAGGACGACGAAGCGGTCGATTGTTGTCCTGAGCTTGAGCTTGAGCTTGGCAAGTGCTGCTGCGTCCATGCGCGGACCTGGCAAACAAACCAAAGAGCAAACAGCAATTGTTCAAATAAAAGGTGAGTGAGACTTGAACATGGTCGTTCTGTGAGTGGAGATGGAGGGAGATAGCGGGATGGAAGAATAGGAGCACTTGGGTCGGAAGGACGTAAGCCAACCTAACCGACGCTGCTCAATCATCATGTAACAACAGAGTCGTTCGACTCGCCTGCCGTCAAGAAGCTGGGTCAATGGGAGAGAGAGCGAGAGAGAGAGCGGGCGAGAGTCATCGGGTATGGGATGAGGCGGTTTGTAATCCGTGGTATCAGAGGCCAAAGTATACCTGCTCGAGCAAGGACAGGGCGCTCTGCCGCGCGAGCTGGGTCGCTTCGACATGCTTGCGGGCAGCTTCGGCGATCGACTTGAGGCGCTGCTCGAGGTCGCCGGTCAACGCGTCGGCAACGGCAAATCGGCTGCGAAAGTTGGGCGAATCCGCCGCAACGTCGGACAAGCTCAGTTCGAGCATGCTTATTTGGAGATCAAAAAAGGAAAGGAAAGAAGTGGGAGAGCAGCGAAGAAAAGGAGAGGAAAAGGGAAGGAAAGGGAAGGAAAAAAAAGGGAAGAGAAGAAAGTCTGACTGAGCACAAAGTCTGAGAAGTAGTAAAGTGCTCTCTGTCGAGTGGGAAAATAAGCAACAACGCACACAATAGCAACACTAAAAATGCGAGACGTGCGGAAGTTGCTTTTCATTTTTGGTGGAAACTTGGCAATCCGAAGAAAATCACAGTTTTGCGCCCAAAGAACCTTCCATGCTGTTGCCGACATGGCAGAGGTGCGAAAGCGCGGAAAATTCGAGTCCCAACTACAGTGCTTCTTGTTACACCCGAGAGGGAGGAATAGGTAGACACGAAGTACATTGAGCACTGAGCTGGCAGATATGGGTTGGGGTGTACCCACTTGTTGCTCCAGCTCGTGCGCGAATTCTCAGGAGCTCGGCGTGAATTGCGCGACGCTGCTGTTGAAAGTTTGATCTCGTCGTAAACGTCGCTATTCAGCACAAAGTTGTATTCGTCAAAATGAGTGCCGTGTGGTTTACTCAAAGCACAGACAATCAAACAAGCAGAGGCAGAGGCAAAGGCAAACGAACAGACGAACAGACAAACAAAGACACTCAATCAACTCATCTCATGATAGGCGGGAACGCGCTGCAAATGACGAGCCAGAGGCATGTCCAACACAAACTGCGCAACATCTTCAGGTACGCGCAGATCGGGCTGCGGGACGGGTGGGACGAGTCCAAGAAGCGCATCAATGTTGCTGACACCGAGCGCTTTGGCAACTGCTGCCTCGCTCCCTTCGTGCCGCCACAGCTTGAGTCGGCACAACGAGGAAAGTCTAAAAGGTTGCGCTTGCTCGGCCATTTGCAGAATCTGCTTGAGAGTTTCCTGGTTGGTTACTTCCACTCGGTCATGCAAGCGAGTCCACTCCTTTTTGAGTGCTCGGTCATAGGGATGCTTGACATATGGCCAGCCACCATATGATGATGATGAGACGAAAGCGAGGCATTTCGAAGGAGAGAGTCCCCACGCAAGCAAGCATCCGACAACCAGGCGTCGAGTCGCCGCCAACGCAAATGGATGAGCGGAATTCCGCCAAGATTTGTCATTGAAAGCAGGCAAAGTACGAAAGCCTGCAAGCTCAAACTGGTAGAGCCAATTCGAAAAGTACAGTGTCGGTCTGTCAATGAAGTTCTGCCGGCCAAGTTCAGGTAGCCACTCAAGCACAGTCGCCATATCCCACCCGGGCACGTTCGTGAGCCAATCAGCATTGTAGCCAAAAGGAATACGGCAAACGACCCATTCAGCTTCCTCGGTCACACCAAACTTGTCGTAAATCGACGGACCCGTGGGCCGTGGCGGATGCACGCAGTCGTAGGACGCAGGCTTGCGCTCGGGATACAACCACTCCAAGACGAGCGTGACACAATTCCAGGCATTCGGTCTGCTGCGATTGACGTGGTTCTCCAGCCAGCAAGCCAGCAGTTCCTCGGAAAGACGATGCATCGCCTCGTAGTGATGCCTTAAACAGTACCGAAGCATGTCAATGCTGGTCGTGGCACAGTGCTTAATGACGTCTTTCGGTGGTCGTCGGCGCTCGACGAAAATCCAGTAGCGGAACAGCATGACCCACACAGCTGATGAGGTGCAAAACTGTGTCTTTCAAGGCCTTGGACAGCGTGAGGGACCGACCAACCCGAATCGTCTCCAGCGCGTCAAACAGCTCCATAATGGAGCCAGTCATGAGCGGGCTCTCAATGTCATCCCAGTACCGAGTGTAGCGGCGCGAGTGCATCACCCAGCCAGTCTGTTCACTGCCAGTCCCGCTAGAGAATGAAGCGAAATAGGTATCTGAGTCAGCCCAGTGGAGTTTCGCGCTCAGAGGCAAACCAGTCGCAACCAAGTCCATCTGCAGTGTCGGGTCGCGCAGCAGGTCTCCATGAAACGTGAGACGGTCGATGTTGGACTGGTTGATTGAGCACGAGGTTGCTGTGGCTTCATCGACCATGAAAATGCGAGAAGCATTGCGCTCGGCACGCCGCAGACAGCGACGTACAAAGCGGGACTTGGTGTCGATGGCGACTCCTCGATGCGAGAAGCGCACACGCTCGGCCGACTTGGGTGCCACGAACGAAGGAAGCAGACGACGCCCAACTGCCCAGTTAAACTCGGGGCTCGCGTCCAGTGGATTAAAGTCGGGCTCGCGGTTCACAGGGTGGTTTTGGATAAAGTCATCCAGGGGAAAGTCTGGGATGGATTGTCAAGCAGAGTGATGCGGAAAAGCGGAGGTGAGTCGTTTGCTATTTTTTGGTTGTCGCATTGCATTGCTGTGTTCAGTCGGTTACCTTCAGATCCATCAAAAATGTCCCACCAAAAAGACAGAGGGGCTCGATTGGAATCGGCCGTCTCGACGCCGGAGCTGGAGCCCGAGCTGGACGATGCACGCGCGGTCGTCGCTTCTGAGATGGAGCAGGATGCGCCAGGCCGCACGCCTGCTTTGGCGGCTTCTGCGACTGCGAGCGCCCATGGCGTGGGAGCCTGCTCTGACTGTGATGAGGCAGCCTCGGGTGCAGCAGCAGCAGCAGCAGCAGCAGCAGCAGCAGCAGCAGCAGCAGCAGCAGCAGCAGCAGCAGCAGCAGCAGCAGAGCCCTGCTTCAGCTGGGTCGGGACCGGTCGCTGGCACTTTAGCATGGAAATCACCCACTCCTCCGGGTCGAAGCCGGCCTCGCGGATGCTGTTCCACAACGGGTCTGTCGCGGGATCGCGCTCGTGAAGAATGCCGACATAGCCGAATCGCGCATCCTCGCGGTACATTGGGTGCCGTCGATAGTTGAGCTCGTCCAGCGTGTCGTCGTCGCTCTCCCGATCGTCAAAGCTCACAGCTGAGTCGTCGTCGCTGTCGTCATCGGTAACGACGTCCCTAGCACTGCTATCCGAGTCGAAGCCATAAAGGTCGTTGGAACTGTCAGAGTCGTCAGAGTCGTCGGACATTGGAAGCGGAACAAAAACAAACGAAAACAAACAAACAAAAAACTGAGATTCGAACAGGGACTGCACTTTCCTTATGTGCTATTATAAAAGGACTCCTCTTTTGTTTTAGCATACTATTCGAACTCTTTCTGTTTCCTCGTGATGAGACTTTACTGCACGTTGCTGCTGTTGCTGGTGTTGAGCGCATCGCTTGCATTGGCGCAGTGGTGCCACGGCTCCCGCACACCCGTGTCCTGGTACCTGATCTTCAAGCCGTCGCCCGCCGCTGACTTTATGAGGCGTTCTTAGTCAAACACATTCAGCACCTGTTGCTTTTGAGTCGCATGTTACTCGTAGTTGGTGGTTTCAAGGTTTTTGCTTGAGGGTTTTTTGGGTTGTTTTTTACTTTGCAATCGAGCGGTGATCTGGTTTGAATCCACACCTTCACACCGCCAAAAAGCACAGACAGAGGAGAATCATGCATTTCAACGACAAACACGTCAGAACATCGCCATACAGGTCACATTAGACAAACACTCAGGCCGGCGGAACAGGAAGAGTCACAGGTACGCGCAAATCAGCTCGAACCGCGGTTGCAGCACGGTGTTCGGTACCGCGTGTGATAATGCCAGCGCCAGTGGGGAAGACATAGTACATCGGTGCCGAGAGCGGCAAATCGTACGGACCAAGCTGGAAATAGGACAGATCGAGCAAATAGGCAGTGCTATTGGAGCCTGGCACAAGCGTCACGGCAAGGATGGTGGCGTTCGCAGCAAACACTCCCGAGCTGGCGACGTCGAAGCCCAAAAGAGCAAAGCACGAAACGTCGAGAGATCCGCCAGACGCCGCGGAAAAGACCGGCTCGCTGAAGTCGGCACGAACCGTGGCGACACGCAAAGTGTCAAACGGAGCAAGCACAGTTGTGGTATTCGTGACATTCCACTGAACGAAAGCGAGCTGGAACACTGGCTCAAAGTTGAGCTGCACGGCTTGTGTGGGCTGGAAGATGGGCTGCTCATTCGCGCCTTCGACGTTCACGGCGGTGGTTGTGATTGTGTCGCCAACGGCAAGTTGCTGACCGAAAGTGACAGTGACAACCAAATGCACCTGCAGCTGCGCTTCCTCATACACGACGTTTGTGACATTTCCAGTAACGGTGCCGACCGAGGACGCGGTGGGTTGCAGACGAACAGCAAAGTTGTTTGGCCACAGGCGCTTGGGACGAATCCAATCCAAACCCACAAACTGCGGAGGCGGAACGGAGGTGCGAACAACTGGATCCGAAAAGACAACCGCCAAAACCACAGTGCCATTGGTGTTGCTCGTCATTTCCAACGCAGAGAAGGGCTGGAGCACCGTGACGGCCATTGTGGGCTGCTTGATGAAGGAGAGGACGTTGTCAGCAGCTGGAGTGTCCAGTTTGGGCGCCTTGTTCAAAACCCACTCGAAGGCCGAGAGCCGCGAAACGCTCAATGGGAACGGTTTCATGATGCGAAGCATTGAGTAATCCAACTGAGTGCCTCCGGAAGGGGCACAAGGCGCGGACGTGGCCAGTTGCAAAAACATGGGAATGTACGTGTTGAACCGACGGTTGCCAGTCAACTTCCTGAAGTATTCGTTTTGCGAGTCCGGCATTGTCTGCAGCATGACACGTTCTGAGCGCCGCACAGGCGTGCCAAAAGGTCGAGTTCCGTCCGTAGATCTTCAAGCGCATTGGCGGCAAGGTGGTATTCGACCCTTGATCGACAGATTCCAGCCTGTTCCCGGCGCCGAGCGTAATGGAGCCATCGACCGAAACAAGGTGCAGCTCGTCGCCGTAGAACACTGGCTGGCAATCATCCAATACGCGACCGTGGAAATAACAAGAGTCCACACAAAAACCATCTATTTGATTCAAAACACTCACACGCACACACAAACAACCAGGACATTCTTCAGCTTTAACGACCATACCTGTCAAATCGATCAAGCAAAAAAGAATGAGCGAGCGTGGTCACAGACATGCTCCAACAGAAAGTGCAAGAATCCTTCAAGAACATACTTTTGGAACTCCCATTCTCTGTTGTCCAGAGGACACACTTGGCGCGTCTTCAGCCAGCGAGAAATGCAGTGGAAATGGAATGCGTGCTAAGAAATTAGAGTACGAGTGTGGGCGTGTTGTGAGTTGGTCAGCATGGACGAATCGCGAGGGTTTTTTTTTTTTTTTTTTTGCTCGGACAATCCGCTTCCAAGCACATTTCCGCTTCTTACATTGCAAACACCCCAGGCCACGGTGCACTCTTCGCTTGTAGCCGATGCTTGATTTGCTTGGCACTCGATGCCTATGTTCACACACCTCAGCGATCGTTCTGCTGTCCTCTCACCCCTTTCAGTCACAAAATCCCATCTCTGCGCACTTACACAAGTCCATAATATGATTGCGGCAGATGGCGCAGTTCTCGACGGCAATATCTAATCATCACCAATCACAATCACCCAAGCCGAACACGTTGAATGAGAAATTCATCCTTCAGCATCAGCACACACAGTTCGTTCGCAGATAAATGCTGGGCGCTCTTTTGTTTACCCCAGGCCCAGAGCGCAACAGCGTTCCACTATCAAAGCAAACAATAATAATAAAAACCAAACCAAGTGAGTAAAATAAGCAAATAAACAATTTCACAAGAAACAATTTTGAACAAAGGCGGGAAAGCGAGACAAAAGAAGTTGAGAAAAACTCAAAGATCTCGTTCTCGTTTGCTTGCTTGCGTCAGCGAGTTCAAGTTCAAAACGCAATGGGATTCTGTGTCTCATCGCTCTCTCTCTCTCTCTCTCATCGCTCTCTCTCTCTCTCTCATCGCTCTCTCTCTCTCTCTCTTGATGGTGCCACACGACAACAAGACAGGCACAGGACTGCGCTGTGACACAGTGAAGTGAAGGACCCTTCAGGGTTGAACTCTTGAAGCTATCTCAGTTCAAGTCGTCGTCCTCTCACCACACAAACACACACCCCTAACAATGCCACAAGATCACAAGAACTGACACGCACTGTGCCCCCCCCCCCCCTCAATGAGTGGAAGCACGAAGGGGCGCGCAATGAAGCTGTCTCAGTCGACCGCCGCCTTTCACCCTTGTTCCGACTCCTACTCCTCCGCCTTCTTCCAACACTGCAAGTTATACAAAAAGGAAAGGGAATTGGGGTCGCACCTTCTTGACTTCAAAGCGCTTGCGAGGCTTGCCCTTGTCTTCGTCCTTTTCGACTTCGGGCGCATCGTCAACGTCCATGTCAGCCATTGTGAAAGAGGTAGTGTTTTGAATGTGGAACCGAAAGAGTGACCATGCTCTCAAGATGGTCCAAACTACGGAGCTCAGATAGACGAGCAAAAGGAAGAAACAAAAAAAAAAGTACAGTAATGATCGTAAAGATGGACGGCACAGCACTTTAAAGAACTTCAATTCATTCGGAAAAAAAAATGGATATGGTGTGTGCTTCTTGCATCCAACTATTCCAACCCTACAACCACCACCCGCCTCCCCCCCCCTCTCTGGAGTTAAAACATTGTGTCGAGACACAGCTCTTGCGCGATCGCGCTGAGTTCCTTGACAAACTCTTCAAAAACAATCACGGCGAGGAGGAAGGTCCGCACTTCGGTCGACTCGCACGTAAAGGCAAGGGCAATCGAGGTGAACTGCTGCCGCTGCTCGAGCGTGAGCTGCGAGAGCGAAGGCACCAGCTTGCCACTCGGGGTGTGTCGCACATGGGATGTGGCCGCCGCCGCCGCTGCCGCCGCAGGCGAAGCAACCGAGGAGGGCTTCATTGGCGAGTTTTTGGGAGTGACGGTCGCCACGCTCGGCACATTGGGCTTGGGCGGAGACATTGAGGTCGCGGCAAGGTGGGCCTTGGCCGAGGACAGACGCTCGGCAAACTGCTCGAGTTCGGCGGCGCCTTTGCGAATGCTTCCGGCAGCAATCGTCAGCGAGCGGAAGAGCGACCGCGTCCCAGGCGCGAGCGGAAGCTCAGTGTTGATCATGTACTGCCGAAGCCATGGGACTGGCGCGACAGCGAGCTGCGAGAGAACAGCCGTCAACAGCAAGTTGACAGAGTAGCTTTGCGTCGTCATGTTTTCGAGCAAATCAAACAGAGAATTGAGCAGCGGTCCAGCACCGGCGTGTCGCGGGACGCCCATGAACGCGAGCGTCGACAGATCGGCCTGTTGCGGGATTGGCGGTTCATTTTGCTGCAGTTGACCGGGCTTTGACCGAGCCGCAACAGAACTTGGAGGCGGGTAAAATGGCTCCGCACTGCGTTCTCGAGGTCGACTCACGGCCGTTCCGCCGCAGACATTCACCGCGCGGTACGAGATGGGCTCGCGCGCGTTTGTGGACGCTGCCGCAGGTGTTGAGCCCATCAGCAGACTGGCACCCTCTCCAAGAACCTGCTCGACGCGCGGCAGTGGCCCAGAAATGGTCGACAGGGGCGCGAGGTACACATCCGACGACCAAGCAATGCTGGTCGGGAAGCTGGCGAGGGCGCGCTCCATGAGAAGGCGCGCCTGCTCGACGTACGACTCGTAGCCACTGTGGTCGGGCGAGACGTCGTCCAAGGCGTAGGGATGCAGCATCAGGAAGGCCGCGGCGCTGCGACCAAACTCTTCCATCGAGTCGCGCCATTGATTGAGCTGCGCGCGAGCCATGTGGTGCTCTGCCTCCTTGATGAGCTGTCGCTGTTGGTCGTCTGTGGAGCGTCCGTGGTCGTTTGAGCTGAGCGAATCCAAATGCAGGAGCGTCTGCTGCTCGACGCGTTGCTGCTGTGCAAGGGTAGCCTGCTTGGCCTCGTACGAGCGCAGCTGGGCGCCCACCTCGCTGTTGACGACGTCCTGCAAAAGCAGGCCGCCAAAGGCATCGGCGCGGAATGTGAGGAGCATGGTGTGGACGAGCCGAAGACCGGCAATCATTTCCTCCTCGCAGGCGTCGCGAGACAGGAAGCGGAACAGGTTGGATCGCAACGGCTTGTCTTCTTGCTCAAACCCAAGTACAAACTCGATAAATACGCGCAAGAGCCGAGGATCGCTCACTTCGGCCACGCACTGCTCAAAATAGGTGAACGACGCCACGCGCTCCTCCTTGGTCGTGTGGTAGAGCGCGGGACCCAGGACGCAGTTGAAGAAAATGTCGCACATGGCTTGCGCCAGCGCTCGGGCCACGTCGGCGGTTGCGCGCGAGGCGACCTGGTTGCAAAAGTCAAGCGAGTGCACCAGGTTGTCGAGGTCTTGCATGCTGAGGACCGACCTGGAGACTTGCCGTCCTGGTTGTTGGTTTTGGAGCTGAAGCTGCAATTGCTGCTGGTACTTTTGCAGTTGGGCAGAAGAGACGGCAGAGGTGCTCAGACTTCGGCTTTGTGTCAGGGCAATCCAGTCGGTCAGCGGGACGGGCAGCTCTGTCGGGAGGGGAGAATAGTAGGCACTCAACCCCGCCGCCAGAAAAGGACAAAAGCTATCGACAATGGCGCGAGACAGTGCGGGTTGAGAATGCGACACTTGCAGCAAGGGCAACATTGCGGCGCGGGCCTTGTCGCCAATCATGGATTGCATCTCGTGGATGTTGGTGGTGAGCAGCGCCAGAATGGTGCACTCGCGTGTCGCAAAGGGGTCACGATTGCGCTTGCTGGGGGTGTGTATTGGCGGTGGCGAGGGCGAGGAAGGGGCTGAAATCACAGCGCCAAACCCGTCCTCCAGCTGCTCATAGCTTGGTCGTCCCGAGAAGGGAGTCTCGCCGCTGCTGCCACCGACGGCATACGGCGAGAGGTTTGTCAAATTGCCAAAGCTGTTGCTCTGGCTGACGCTGTTGGACTGCCCCTGCGAGCGCGACGGACTGTCCTTGAGGAAATGCGCGAGGTAGGCAGGGTGCTTGCCAATGCTCGACGTGAGCGAGTGCAGCAGATCGAGCAAACTGCTGGGCGATATGCAGTCCTTGTTGGCCTGGCTGTCTGCCAGCAGAATGTTGATTGCATCGGTGGTTGTCTCGTGCTGCAAGAGCGAGTTGTTCTGCAGGATTTGCAGCAGCATCGAGATGGCCTTTGCCAGCTCGCCGCGCAGCTGTTTAAAGCACTTGCAGACGTGGTCTGGGCTGATGATTTCAAACATGCGTTGTTCGATGAATAATTCAAAGCAGACGTATGGCGGGTCTCGCAGTTCTCTGTGGTAGCGAAGACAGAAACAAAACAGAAACAGAAACAAACAAACAAACAAAGAGGTGAATACATGGCTCATTTTTGTTGTTTTTTCTCAAGATTGAAGCAAACATCGAAAAAAGAGGAAATTTTGGTTCTGCTTTGCTGAGAAAAGGGATTTCTCAGACGATTAGCATTTGAGCAACAAAAAAAAAAAAAAAAAAAAAAAAAGAGAACGAAATCCAGCACGATCTTGCTTCAGTTGACACTCTGAAAGCCAACAAATGTTCCCCCCCCCCCCAGCAAGCGGTTGACATTGTCTTCTTCAATCTAAGAGTTTTTGGTTTTGAGCGCTTAATCCCAAAGCTTTTTGAGCCCCCCCCCCCCTTTTTTTTTTTTTTTTTTTTTTTTGTTCTTTGATTCAAATCTCTCTCATTCTCATTCTCGTTCTCATTCTCTCTCTCTCTCTCTTTCCCCCTTTCACTCTCTTGTGAACTGACCTGTCCTCTTCAGTGAGAATGTTGACGATGGAGACGAGGTTGTTTCGGATGGGCAAGCGATCCAAGTCGTGGACGCGGTCTGTGCCAACATGCGCCTTGATGCAGCTCTCGAGCGACTCCCAGTGGCCGGTGAGCAGTTGGACGCGGCGGCTGCTGTCGTGCACGCCCTGCTGCACAATCTGCTTGCTGTCCATCCACCACTCGGGGCGCTGGCCGTGGCTCGACGACGGCGACAGCAGGGCAGATCCACCGCCGCCGGTGCGTAGCTGGGCAGAGGACGGCGACAGTGCACCGCGGCCAGGCGAGCTGGCTGGACTGCTCCCACCCATCATCCCGCCACCGCCGCCGCCGCCGCCGCCCTTCACAGGCGTGTTGGTCGCAGACGCCTTTAGCTTGTTGAAGAACGACTTGACGTTGTCCATGATTTTGAAAGAAACTCAAAAAAAAAAAAAAAAACCAACACAAAACCAAAACCAAACACAAAGACTGGAGCAAATCTTCAATGGAAAGAAGAGATGCAAAAGAATCTCAGATTGGAAGGTGAAAACAAAAGTTCGAATACAAGTCTGCAACTGAAATGCAATCAGACGCGGAAGGGACGAGACAAACGAGAGATTGTCGCAGATTTTCCAATTTCAAAAACAGCAACAAAATCGCATCCAACGACCAAACACCAACATCAACAACAACAGCAACAACAACAACGGAGAACACCAAACAACCATAAACACACCAATCAACTACCCTTCCCCCACACTCAAGTGCTCTGCGAAGGTGACAATTCACCGCGAATGTTGGTGTGCAACAGCGTCCGGATTTCATCGTTGGCCAAGCCACGCGCAAGAAGGTAGCCGAGCTTCGTGGCGGCCGCCTCGGGGGTCATGTCTGCGCCGGAGACAACGCCAATGTGGTCGCGGAGGGCCAGGCCGTTGGCATACGTGGACAGGTTGACAAAGCCGCGGCTGCATTGGCTAATCACAACAATGACAACGCCGCGCTTGACGGCCTCGGCCAGCACGTCCATGAGCCCCTGGCGACGGGCGGGCGCATTGCCGACGCCGTACATTTCAAGGACGATGCCACGGAGCGGCGGCTGGAGGAGATTGCGCACGACCGTGTCACTAAAGCCGGGTGTCAGCCGCAACACGGCGACATTTTCATCAAACTTGGTAAAGACGCGGAAGCGGCGCTTTGGCGGCGAAAGCAGCAAATCCTGGCGCAGGCTGAGGTCGGTGCCCAGCGTGCCGAGCGGCGGGAAATTTGGAGACGCGAACGCGCTCAGCCCAAACGTGTCCACCTTGCTGGCGCGGTTTCCGCGGAGCAGCTGGTTGTTGAAAAAGATGCACACCTCGGGAATGTCAAACCGTGCGGCGTACAGAACGGAGACGATGAGATTTCGGCGAGCGTCATTGTACACGTCTGCGAACGGGATGAGCGAGCCAGTGATGATGACTGGCTTGCCTGTCGGGCATAGAGAGAGAGAGAGAGAGAGAGAGAGAGAGAGAGAGAGAGAGAGAGAGAGAGAGAGAGAGAGAGAGAGAGAGAGAGAGAGAGAGAGAGAGAGAGAGAGAGAGAGAGAGAGAGAGAGAGAGAGAGAGAGAGAGAGAGAGAGAGAGAGAGAGAGAGAGAGAGAGAGAGAGAGAGAGAGAGAGAGAGAGAGAGAGAGAGAGAGAGAGAGAGAGAGAGAGAGCGCGCGCGC